GACTCTAGACCAATGCATCCACCTACAATCTCAAGGTCAACTAGGGGCATGAAGATTGTATAATCCCCATTCTTTGGTGGGTGTAAATTTATCGCATGAAACAATGGAAAGTGATGCAAGACTAGAAAGCAAACTACTGTGGACAGGGAAAAATTCAATTTTTGCACATTTACGTAATCTTAACAGCGCATGAGTGAGAAAATTCATGAAGTTTGACAATTTATAAAGACTAGCAATTGATAAACCAAAGCGGATACAAGTTTGGAGTTAACAATATAGTGGAAAATGAAATTAGATTGGGAGACTTATGAATTTGCAAAGATTCAAGTGCAAAAAAGAACGCTGGAAATCTAGAAACAGAGATAGATACTAGACTGGGATAATTGCATAGATAGAGACGTCTGAGCCTAAAAAACAAGTCTATAGGCAAACAAGCAAGAGAATTATAGCTCCTATCTATTGTCAACTCTTCCAGCAATACAAAATTGTGAATAGGAAACTCCAATCTATTGTCAATTCTTCTAATAACGCAAAATTGTGAATAGAAAATTCCATGTTTGGATAAGCATGAATATAAAAAATACTTAAAAAGTTTGAGCACGGTGATGATGGGTTTTTCCTTGAGGTGTTTAAAAGATTTGTCACAAATTCTCATCAAAATTTAAACAACTTAATGTGGTAATAGGGTTACCCCAGATTGTCTCTCGTGAACATTGGCTATTAATCTTCGTTAAACATGTTGAAGGCATTAATTGAACAAACAATTAAAATGGGGGGTTTTATGGTTTCAAATCAAAATAAAAAGCAACAAGCAAATAAGTTTAATTAATTCAAACAATAGAAAATAGCAATCCTTAGTTCATCCATAAAGATTCTATCCTCATTCCACTCAAGATTTAACATTCATCCTTTCTCCCATGAATTAGGTTAATTTAACAAGCAAAAATCAACCTTATTGTCCTAACGAAATTACGCAATTTGCTAGGCTCTAATCTCTCATCCCAAAGTTATGCAACCTTAGAATTAAACCTAGGATTAAGCAATCCCTAGTTTAGAATCTCCTTAAAAATGAATTAGGGTTAATTCAGCAATATCTCTCTCATTCACCATTAATTCAATTTAAGAGACAAGGAAGAAGTAATTCATGAGAAGAAAGAAATTATATTATCATTAAAATCAAGGAACTCAAGAATCCGTGTGAACTTACTAAGGATTACACAAAATTTAGCCCTCCATGGAAATGGGAGTCAAAAACGCAGTTAGAAAATGCAGAAAACTCATTAACATTAATGTAAAAGCAAGAAAAATGAGAAACCAATTCCTAGGTTGGACCCAGCTGTCACCCAAGGTTGCCCTAAGCTTTGGAAAATGTCCTAAATTTAGTAAAGAAGAGAAAAGGTTCAAAAAGTATAAGAACTCCCTACCCTAATTTGGCAAAAATCTATTTATACTAAAGCTGGCGCCCTCCAAAGTAATTACTTTCATTCTTTCATAGTAAACATGCGCAGTATCAGTTGGGTTTTGCCTCTCTGGAGTGATTACTATGAAAGTTCATAGTAACCACGCGCAGCACTGGGACATTTTGAACTCTCTAGAGTTGTCACTTTAAATTTTGATAGTAACTACGCGTAGCATCTTCAATTCTACATATTCTAGAGTGATTACTATGAACTTTCATAGTAACCACGCGCAAGCTTAGTGGATTCTGGGCTGCTATAGTTGTCACTTTAAGCTTTGAAAGTGATCACTTTGGTCCTTTTGCTGGAAGTGGCTTGCTGTAGTTGTCACTATCAATCTTGAAAGTAGTTACTTTCACCATAAATTCCTCAAAATCCAATAATTCTTCAAAATGGGCTTAGGGATTCTTGTCACGTTATTCAAATGATCAAAACATGTAAAATAAATTATCTAAATCAATGTAAGTTAACCAAAAACTAAGAAACCTATATTATTTAGCCTAATTAGAATATTCATCTTATTTACACTATCTAAGTCTATTCTTTTCTATAAAAAGTATAAATGATATATAAAAATTTAGTAAAATGTGGATTCATCACACGATCACTGCGTGGATACTTGAAATTATGACAATTAACGATAGTGAGTTCTTGAAGAGCTGAGAATATTGTTACGTAAAGATTTTACTAACTCACATCCTACAAATGTAATACTGTACAATTTACTTGACCATGGCAGGAGCAATGCAAGATCAGAAGACTTGACACTATAAATGAAAATTATGATTCCCACGAACTAGTGAAAACTTCATTAGCATTGGAGAAAGTAGACAGAGGTTTTGATCCATTCCTAAACAATGATAAGATGCTTAGATTTCTTACTCTATTTGATAAGATTTCTCAACCATTCATGGTTGGACTCAGCAAAGAGTGTGCATAAATTCGTAATGGTTCAACTGGTGGTACTTGATCTGTCCATCTGGTTCTGCACATAAACTGCCAAAAAAGTTAGGTTAATTTGACCAGTTTTGAAGAATCCCTCCTCCAACGCTCTGTTTTAATACTTGTCATCTCTTTCATGCACGGTTTCGTTCTAGAAAGAGAAAGAAAAAGAAAAATGTTTACATAAATTATAAATTTTTAATTTTTATAAAAGAAAAATAAAAGTGTCAAGGAGTTCTTAAGAGAAAAAAAAAGTAATATATAATATTTTTATAACTTCCTTTTTTAAAATAAATTTTTTAAAAGTTTAATTTAATCATTAGGAGCCTACACCCTATTACTAACTTCGTTAATACTTTGTTAATACTTCGTTAACCTATAGTCTTCGGCAGGAAGAGGAAGTGGATTCCCCTTCAAAGAACAAGGAATCCTTGATGCTTCTCAAATGTCTTGAAGAATGCTCTCTCCTTGATGTGAGGGAAATAAGTGAAAGGCTAAGTCAGTCCATAGTGAAACTCTAAAACTCTGAGAGGAGAGTCTTAATTCCACTCCGATCCTAGTTAGCCGAGTAGATTAAAAGCAATCTACCTATAGCTAATAGCTAGATTAGTTCTCCCCAATACTGATTAGTTGCTTGAGCACCTGGTCATTTTATTCTTTCCATCAAAACTGGCAACAACATAGTCAGTGTGTTAGTTTATACTGAACATTTGTGTTTAATCCATTCCTTAGTGTTTGTTAAAGGTTTTAATTGGTTTAGTTTCTGGAAATCTATTCTAGTTTGTGAAATTTCAAAATTGTGCTTGTTAGCTCTTGGCACCAATTTTCTAGATATGTGTTCTTGTATTCTTGGCTATTTTAAGTATTTTTCTTATTAATTGATTCATGCTAACTTGTTGAAGCTTTAGGTTGTTAGAATTGATTAAGTCTTAGAGTTTTAATCCTTTTTCTATAGAGTTTTAATCCTTTTACCATCAAGTTTTATTGGCTGTCCATGTGTTATTCTTCCTTGATTTTTGTCACATGTATTCTTCCTTCTTGATATTAGATGATGCAACATGCTTGATCTAATTTTGGTGTTATTTAAGTTTGATTGTAAACCTTGTTGAAACTATGTTTGTTTGCAAAAGTTAGTGAATAGATGTTGCAATTGTGTTATGGCTGAAAAAAAATACAAAAGAAAAGAAAAAAAAAGTGAATCCAAAAGCAATTGGTATATTAAGCATGTAAGCAAGTGATTGATCTTGAATGAGAAATTTTCGGTTAATACCAACGTTTTGCAAGGAAGAAAAAGTAGCAAGCCTAACTCAAATGAAGGTAGTTCAAAGACCTCCTCCATTAAGTGTTTCAAGTGCCTAGGTAGAGGGCATATAACTTCTCAATGCCCAACTAAAAAAACCATGATATATAGGGGCAAAGATCATTACTCTAGTCAAGAGGAAGGAACTAGTTCCTTTTCTTCTAGTGAGGGAGCGGAATACACTAGTGGAGAGAAAACTTGTGGGAGAGACCTTTTGATCATTAGGAGGCTTTTAGGTAGCCATTTAAGAGACTTAGATGAGTCTCAAAGAGAAAATATCTTCCACACTAGGTGCTATATAAAAGGTAAATTGTGTGCCCTAATTGTGGGTAGGAGAAATTGTACCAGTTATGATAGTATGAGGCTAGTAGAGAAACTAGGATTAGAAACTATCCCACACGCTAAGCCATACAAACTTCAATGGTTAAATGAAGAGGGTGAGATGTTGGTAGATAAGTAAGCCAAAATAAGATTCTTCATAAGTAATTATAAAGATAAAGAAAGTATTATGTGATGTAGTTCCTATGGAGGCCAGCCATATTTTGTTAAGAAGGCCATGACAATTTGACAAGAATGTCATTCATAGTAGGACCTAATATCTTCTACACTAGGTGCTATATAAAAGGTAAATTGTGTGCCCTAATTGTGGATGAGGGAAGTTGTACCAATTGTGATAGTATGAGACTATTGAAGAAACTAGGATTATAGACTATCTCACACCATAAGCCATACAAACTTTAATGGCTAAATGAAGATGGTGAGATGTTGGTAGATAAGCCAGACAAGATAAGATTTTTTATAGGTAATTATAAAGATAAAGTATTATGTGATGTAATTCCTATAGAAGCCGGCCGTATTTTGTTAAGAAGGCCATGGCAATTTGAAAAGAATGTCATTCATAGTAGAACCTCTAACAAAATAACTTTTGTTCATGAGTGTAAGGATTTTTTTAACTCCTAAGCAAGTAATAGAAGACTAATTAAAAAGGGACAAAGAAAGGAAGGCCATAGACTTGCTAGGAGACTATAGGCCTAAGAAAAAGGAAAAAGGTAAAAAGCGAATTAGAGGAGATGAGGGCAAGTATGAGTTTGCCTTAAGTCTCAAGAAAGAATGATTCCTTACCAAGATGTAAGATGTGAAAAGAATCGTGTATAGTAGTCAACCATTATACCTAGAGTGTCATATGAGTCATTTGACTCTTATCACTACTCCTTCTTCTTTGGATAAAAGAGTAAAGGCTCTTTTACAAAATTTTGAGGTTGTGTTCCCTAATGTATCATGCAAAAGTTTAAAGAAAGTGAGTTAAAGTCAACTTTTATTATAATAAAATTAAGATAGTAATATAAATGTATTAAAAAAATGGCACACACTTAATATACATTTTAAATTATTTTATTTATCTGAAAAAAACACAAGGTGGCGACGGAATAACTTAAACTTATAAATATTTAAACGAGAAATGTATGTTTTTATTCCACATATTCAGTTCACTTATTTCATACGCACAGAAAGGTAAATTGCATTTTACATATCTTAAAAGTTTTATAGGGGTTCAATAATTAGTGATAAGATATGCTCTTTGATATCTCGGTCCTGTGTACCAAAGCCATCGCCATTTTGATAAAGGGTATGGGCTACACGAGCTGCATTTATGGCTTGGGTATGAAATGACTCCATCGAAGCAAGTCGAGAGGAGCAAATCCCATTTATCTTTTTCCATGCATTGTTTATGATGTCTTGAATATGCTTTCTTGCTGTTTCCTCCGAGACATTCATTTCATTCATGTAGCAAAGGATTGACGAAGCAGCATCTCCCCTTTCTCTTTCAGCCTGTTTCATATATATTTGTTTCTACATTAGCATTCAATAATTAATTTATGCAAAATGAAAGGGAATAATTCACAAAAATAGAGCTTGCAAAAATTACCACTTCAGTTCCTAAATCATTGCATAGTCGAATTACAAGAGACACACTGTAGACCAAATCTTCGTAAGTGTGTAGAAAATCCTCTATCTCATCCGATGCTTCGTGCATTGTAGCAAAATATGAATGGAGCAGAATTACAGGCCCCGAAGATGAAATCCAAGCATTGCTTAAATATTCTTGCAACGATGGAATATATCCCTTGTTGTACCACTTTGCTTCCACGTGTAATGCTTTGCAAAAGTCTTTCCACTGTAAAATTAAGAAGGGAAATTATTATAATTAACAATTGTTTCATTCCTTTCTATGGTTTTTAGATTAATTTGGGTTCGAAAAAACATAGAATTGATTACAGTAATGGTACCGTTTTCTTTAGGTAAGGTAACACCAAGTGGAACTTATTTTCCCCGCCAATTTCATAAGCAATTTCATTTGTTACATCTTTAAGTGCACGGACGCAAATTCTCATGTACTCTGGAAGTGCATCAAGTTCTTTTTCGTCCCATCTGTATGTATGACACATTGAGACTTCCAAATTAATAACCAGAAATATAAGCAAGCCTACATATTCTACATATTATAAATAATATAATCTTAGCCTCCATATATATTTTAACAATCTTGGAAATAAACAAACCTCTCAAATGCCATTGTGAACGGCTCCAATTCTTCAAATGAGGCGTGTACGTCATAAACATCATCAATAACTAGTACGAAAATAATCACTTTAGTGAGCCATTTCCTGACAGAATTGTAGTTAGGCTCAAAGGCAACTCCTGCTGCACACATGAAGCTTTCGACCAACCTATTTCTTGCAAAGCTCAACTCTTTATTTATGCCAAGATTCTCCCACCACCTAAATGAAAAATTAAAAAGATTAATTAGTATTTAGTATAGTCTTAAAATTTTTGTTACAATTTTCTTCTTGATGGTTCAAAATATATACCCGGATAATTCCTTGACCTCCTTTTGAAGTTTGGCCTGAATTATATTGAAATTTAATTTAGCCAATTCAAGTAAAGTAGGGTCCATTTGTGTTCCATTTAGGTATTGGCTAACGTGCCATTTGACTTCAAACCAAGGTACTCTCCAGCGGGAGGGAAGCTCCAAGGCATGGACCACTCTTTCAACAAGCAGGGTAGAAAGTTGATTGGTGTTCACGGAACTCGTTGAGAAAGCAACCTTGAGAGAATTAATTGCATAAGTTTTGGCCTCATCGAAGATGTTTTCTCCTTCTAAGCCCAAATGTGAGGCCTCAAGAAGCTCTAAAACACCTTTTAAATCACCACCACATGAGCTTTTTCTCATCATTTTACCTTCTTCATCTAAGAAGTTGCTCAGTAGTATATCTGAGTAACAGAAATAAATATCCTAAATTAGTTTGTAAGATGTGCAGTAATGACGAAATTCCCTATGTCACATAGCGAATCTTACCTGGCAAAACTTCATATCCATGCTGTCTTAGAAGCCTGAAGCATAGTGCAGATACCCGCAAACTTTCTTCTACAACTGTATTAATGTTGCTGTTTTTGACATAGACAAATAAGGATTCCAGAAATTCATCTATTTCCTTCAGAAAGTGGTTGGCAAGACCTAGTTTCTGGATCCAATCAACCAACTGTAATTTTTGCAAAACGCTTGTCTCTTGAACTAAAAGACTCCTTAATTCAGTCACCTGCTTGTTTAAAAGCATAACAAATTCTTCCTTCTGCGTTGAAACCATGCAACGAAATATAAATAAATGAAGGAAAACCAATCTTTTTGTTAATTGTTATTACTTAAAAGTGTTATGTACATTAGTTGTAGAAATTCTTCAATCATCCCACTCGGGATTATTTTACCACTTGAGTCACTCCTTGCGTATATTACAAACGTCATCTAATTAACTTTATGTGAATTTGGATAAGTTGAGAAAAGAAAAAGGACTTTTATGATATTTTTAAAATTTATTTTAGAAGTTACTTTTTTCAGTGAGAAAATATTATTTTTTTATTTTTTAAAAATTATTTAATCCCAAAAAATTTAAATAACTTTTAAATTAAATATTGTTTTTTAAAATTGAAACAAGTAGGCGTTATGTCAAACAAAATAATGCATGAATCTATTATTCATACAATGCGCCATAATGAAATGAAAAGTACTATAGTGCGAAAATTAATGTAGAAATAAATGTATATCATCAATTGATTGATGTCAGTTTTTTCAAAAGTTTTGTATTCAAATTATTGAAATTTGATATTATATATCTTTAACATGCATTTTTAACGTTAAGTTTTTCTTTCATTGGTAAAAAGTATTAGTCTTCTATTAAACTAATTTTCTTTTATTCTTCACAGCCAATCATGTGTAGAGCTATGTTTCTTTCGTAACCAATTCTTGTCATAATCTTTCGGATTGTTTAGCAACTGATCTCGACCGAAAGAACTCGAGAGTAGTACTATCATTGCCTAAAATTCCTACAATGTGTTATATAGAAAAGAAGAATAAAAAGTATAATATTAAAAAAGGTGTTGTGAATGTTAAGTAAAAAAGTGTTGTTATGAATCAAACATGAAAAGAAATCTAAACAAATATATTATAATATGAGCATAAATATCTCACATCAAAATTACTGGCAAGTGACTGCAGAAAGTGGTGTTTCCAAATGTTGGGTTTATAATTTGCAGATCTTCTTATATGCTCTGTAATAACATTTTGAGACGAAAGGGGTGTCATATTCTCGTATGGTTGATTCAATGTTTAGCCAAAGCGCCCTTTATATAGGCAACGTACGTATAATAAGCGGAAGATAGATCACAGGTGGCAGTCAATTGCCATTGTATCCTCTCAATCTTACGAAGGAATATTTGTGGTTTCCAAGCTCGCACCATTCATATAAAATGATTCAACTATTTTAAGATTGTGATTGATGCTATATACTACTTAATTTTAACTATTTTCTTATCAACAACACAAGTTTTATTACTGTTAAGAAGAGTACAGGTGGTAGTATTCTAACTCTTACAATTTTAAATATTTATTAATGAAAATAAGATAAGATGTTCTGGTTTTAATATTTTTCTTATAGAGAATTTCAGATTTTAACACTAAATAGTCCAATTGACAAAATTAAAATTCTCAAAACAAAACACGATTAGTTTTACAAATTGTAGGGACTCTTGTATAACTTGTTCAAAGTTTTTAAAAGGGTTATTATATATTAATTCTTTTAATGATCTTAACTATCAAATTAGTTTCTAACAAATCCAATATATTATTAACATAATATCTGAAATAATTATTTTATAAATTATTTTAGTCAAAATTATAGTATACTATCTTTGTTTTTATTTATTTGTACAAAGAGAAAAATCAAATAAACAAAAAACTTTAATCATTTTCTTAGATTTAATTTTTAGAATTTATTTGGTTAACATGATAAGATTATAAGATAAATTTATCATGTATTACTTATTTTCTGTATTTATTGATTAACAAAAATAAAATAACTCATTTTACTATATCATAGTTTCAATTATTGTCTTGAGGAAGGAGATAAGTTAAAATCATTAGCATAGGATAACTTTTTTGTTCTATTATATTCTTACTCATACTTTATACTCTTTTTAGTATTTAATTAAAAATAATTATTTTATATATAATTTTAATATTTTTATAAAATTTATATGCATACTTTTTTAATAAAAAATATTTTTGAAAAGCATAAATTTTTTTTAAAAAAAATTTATAATATTTGTAAGAAAAGTATATTATAAAAAATATTATCATTTTATAAAATAACTTTTTAACTTTTTTTTATAATTTTTATCTAATCACAATTTCTTACCTAAAAAATTTAATTGTCAAAAATTTGATTTAAAATAATTATAATTAAATATCAAATTTTAATATTATATGTACATAAAAATATTTTTAAATTTTTTATATAATATATATTAAAATTTAAATTTAAATAAAAAATTAAAAAAATATATCAATTTTGATAAAAGATTAATCATCTCATTTACATATAATTTATATTCTGTTCTAATATTTTTTGTATATCTCAAATATGAAAAAGAATAACATAATGTTATATATTTTACTATGGTGATGCGTATCAAATATAAGATTTCCTTATCATATTCTATCTTTATCCATCTTTTTATCTTATTCATACAAATCAAATACACCCTTAAAATTACTAATTTATTTTTTATTATTGAATCTCATTTTGACTTCAAGATAGAGTTTTCAAAAATAATTACCCAGTTCATTAGAATTGGATCATAGCAAGCAACGAATTTTAGCAGGATGACTTAAAAAGTCTCAATCTAATAATTTAGATTTGGAAAAAATTGTATTTAAAGTAAATAAATTTTAATTTTCGGGGAATATTTACTGGTTTAACCCATATCGAACTTCATGTAATTTATGTAATTATTATCTTTAATGCAAAATTATGTAATATATATATATATATATATAGATAAGTTACATATGCTTTTATTCTAATAACAAAAAATGATTAACTTGTATTTTCACTCGGACAGACGTACAAAAAATTCCTTAAATGCAAGGATTTCAACTATGTACACATTTTCTGCGTGTTTTTTTATTGCAATGATCTGTGAAATTTATAAATGCAAGGTTGCAAGTACAAAGCCTAGTAAAAGTATCACACGTGATATATATATAGATTTCATGATAAATGTTATTATCGTTTGTTTTATTAGAATTTTATAATAATATTTTTATTGAAAAAAACTGAACTAAAACATATTAAATATATCAATTATTCTGATGGGAATCGTTAAGACTGGTTTGGGTTAGGAGCCGTGAATGAGAGAGTGGACCGTGTGGTTAAGAATGGTTTGTTCATCGAGCGTCTTTCCCTGACAAGTAAACACAAAAAGACAAAATAAACAAAACCACGAATGCCACGTAGATTCAAAAATCTTCCAAACAGTTTATATTAAATTAGTACCGTATTTAATGATTAAGACAATTATAATATGTATTTTTTCTTTAAATTTTATTAAGAATAATAGTTAAAAAATTTTAAAAAAAATAAATTTATTAAAAGTTTTAAAACATATAAAGGAGTATATTATTGTGTTTAAAATAAAATATTTTATCTTTAACTTGTAAGTTAGTATTATTGTATTATCAAATGCGTAAATTAAATAATAAAAAGATATTTTAATTTAATTTGTAATTTTAAATTATGTTTAAAAGTTATGTTTAAGAGAGAAAAAAAGAATTAATAAGACTTAACTCTCATTTGAAAGTTATTTAATTAAAAAATTATAAATTTTTTAAAATTTTTCAAAATATTTTTATTTTTTATTTTTTATTTCTTTCATTTTCAATTTTTTTTCTCTTCTACTCTATCATATTATTTCATAAATAAATATTTAAAATTTATTTAATTAAAAAATTATAAATTTTTTAAAATTTTTCAAAATATTTTAATTTTTTATTTTTTATTTCTTTCATTTTCAAATTTTTTTTCTCTTCTACTCTATCATATTATTTCACAATTAAAATTCTATTTTATTTAAAATATATTAATTTTTAAAATATTTTTTTAAAAAAATTATAAAAAATATATTAATGTTAAATAGAAAAAATATTTAATTTTTTTAAATATAAATAAAAATATAAAAATAAAAATATTATTTATATAATTAAAATTTTCATCATTTCTTTAATATTAAATATTAAAAAAATTTAATTCTCCTTATTATCCTCTCATTTCCTCGTCCCTTCTAGACTCCCAGTATTAAATATTAATATTTTTTTTATTTTTTTAAATAAAAATATATAAAAACAATAATATTATTTATAAAATTTAATTCAAATCTCAGCGTATCGCAAAGGACGAAATTAAGGTAAGTAGCAGCGGAAAGTGGTCCCTTTTTGTTCCTGGCTGTCCAGTGATCACATTTGTCTTCGCATCAGTCATGCTTAACAAATTTGCTTTGAACTTATTTTTATCTTTTTATATTTATCTAATTTACCTTTTTCTCTTTTATATTTGTAAGATATGAATAAATTACTCATATTTTAATTAGAAATTCAATTCTAATTTGTCAAAAGGAACTATTTGTTAAAAAGTTGAATTTAAGAATCAACAGAAATAAAATATCAATTTACAAAAACAAAAAAAATTGAAACTCAAAATAAGATTAGAAATTTAAATAATTATTTTAAAAATAAAATTCGAAGAAGTTAAATATATTTTTTCTTATCTACAAAGTTCAATACAAAGCGTTTTTCCGTGTAATCGTGTTTTTTTTTTTTTGGTGTAGTAACATATAACGCGTAAAAAGATGTGAGGTTGGAGTTCGGACGAACTTAGTTAAAAGTCGCAGTCTCGCAGACTCATAAATTTATAACTAATTTATTAAATTAAAAATATTTGAAAAATAATTAAATAATTAACTTATTTATATTAAATAATTTAAATATATATATATATTTATATTAATATTAGATATATTTTATTTTATTTTATTCATTTATTATCAGTCAATTAATTAAATAATAACATAAAACAATTTTTTCATACATATTTTTAAACATAGAATATTCTAAGATACATCTTTAAAATACATAAAATTAAAAAAATTATCTTATAATATAATTTTGAGATCAATTTTAAAATATTTAAAAATAAATTGAATCAAATAACATTAATTTATTTTCAGATAAACTACATCTTAATTGAATTTGTTTTAAAATTTTAAACTTTAAAACATTTTGTTAATAAAAATGTTTAGAATTAATATATACATTTCTGAACTTATTTAAAAGCTTGATTGATTTCATTAATAAGTATGTAGAATTATTTAGTAAATACAAAATAAACTTGCAACATTTAGAAATTAATTTTTTAAAAGTTATTTAAAAGAGTGTTTAACTTTTAAAAATTAGTCACTTATATTTTTGTTATATTTTTATCCTTCATTATTTTTTAAGATACATATTCATTGTATAATTAAAATTTATTAATTTTATTGTCATTTTGTTCGTCTCTTTTCTTTATTTTTCTCTATTTTTTTATCTTTTTACTATTAATAATTAATAGTATATTTTATTAAATAAAAATAAATTAAGTGGATAAATAATAATTTTAAAATTAAAAAATAATTCATTTAAATTAATTCATGTGATTTTTATAGATATTACATCTTAAAATTAATAATTTTAAAATAAATTCAAGTTATTATTTAATTCAATAATATCATCTTTACTAATATGATGGGTTAAAATAAGTTATATCTAAAGAAAAGTTATTTTTATATTTTTTTTTTGTTTTCTCTCAACTTTTGCTTGGTAAGGAAATGAAAGAAAGTGTTTCTTGTGCTCTACTTAAGGTCTCCCCTCCCTAGGATTTTCTTAGCATATAACATAGACCCTAATGGCCTATTTGGACACCTCACACCTTCGTGCACAAGGTAACATATAATTTCTCTATGCATACTTTGGTAGGTAAATTACATGCAATGGATAAGAGAGTTAACGTGCATAATGTATTTATTTTTTTTACTTAATAAAAACATCTTAGCCAATATGAAATAATTTATGTTTCGATGCAAATATAATGACTAACATCTATGGTACACAAGATATATCTCAAAATAATTAATAATTATATTTAATCCTAAGAGCAGTTCTTACCCTATATTTATACAAAGGTAGTAATCACAAGAAATTCAAATAGAGGTAGTGCATTGCTCCGAAGAGT